AGACAAGCCTGCGGGATTGTGTGTGTGTGTGTTTTGCATTCTGTTCGTTTTCTTGTTGAATAGTTAGCATTGATCGGAAATATCTTATCATCATCCATCGATTACATTTGGTGCACGATTTTGTTATTGTTTGTGTTGTTATTTTTTGGAAAAAAGTCTTGTGGAAAATTGTTCTTAAAGTTTAATGCTTTATGCATTTTATTGCATCAATCATTACATGTTTAATGGAAATTCTGTTGAAATTTTGAAATATTAGTCAATTTTTTGAGTCGTCGTTTCGTCGTATTTTCCATCCATACCATCTAAAATTGCTGTGTTGATCCGACGGAAAAAAAAAAGAGCACATTTTCGATTGGCTATATGCGTTTGTTTGCTTTTCGTTATGTGGGCAATTTGCGGTTTAGTTCGGCATTTTATTTATTTATTTTTTGTTGAATTAGAGTTGCTGTCCGTTTTTATGTGTAATGATTTTCCGTTAAAAACATTTTGTTTGTTGTTGTTATGATGATAATGATGATGGTATAGTTTTTAATTCATTGCTCGAAAATTGATTCTTCTCTTTTTGTTTTCATGAATTTTACGCTTTTGTTCGTTTTAGTTTTCGTTTAAATTTTATTTATTTATTTATTTTTTGTTGGTTTTGGTTGTTTTGTGTTCTGTAGAATAATGAATAATAATAATAAGAAAAGGATAATTATACGTCTGCTTTACAATTAGTCATTTTTGCTTTCTTCAAATTCCTTATTGTTTTTCACTTCTGTCAATCTCTTCGCTAGGCGCATCCTACTTCTTCTCACTTGATTTCCCGGCTTACAGAATGACTGCAGTCCCGACAGTTGCTTCCTGACTTGTCCCGGTTAGCATTTGTCTGAGGGTAGTTGTACGGGGACCGGGTTTCGTTAACGAAAGTGGCTGATGGTTGTTGTGTCGGACGGCAATTTGTGACTTTTTGAGGGTTGCTTACGGGAATTTCTTGAAGAGTTTCTTTGAATTTTTCAAGGTACATTTTTTAGCCTCATCTATTGCTAGTTTCATTTTTGTTCGTGTCAATCTCCCAAAATGTGCATGGTTCAACCCAGTTCTGATTTTTTTTGGGCGGCGATTATTTTGCTGGCTATGATTGAAGGGAGGATGGGTGTGGAGAAATGAGTTTAGTGCAGTTGAGCAATCCTACTTCAGAAAATATATTGCTCCTAATTTTTGGTGTCCTCCTCATAAGATGGTAATGTGAATATTTGCAGTTCGGAAACACAAAACCAAGTATGCGTACCACACATATTATACGCTGATTGCTTGATGCACTCATTGATTAATCTGATTTTTCGTCAAATTTGCGTTGTCTTCTCTGTCTTATCATTGATGCATTCACCGGGAAGTGGTATGCACTTGAGACAGAGCACAAAAAAATTCCAACAAAACTTCAAGTTCGCCAAATTTAGCATCTTTCCAAATGCACGAATATGCATTCATCATGCGTTTTGGATTGAGACGGAATCTGTCGAAAGTCGTGTTTGCGTTCTTGGATGATGAATGAAACATGTCATGTTCTCACTTCATAATTTGCACACCAGTTTTTAACAATTCTCAACTACGGTTCAAATTTGTGAGGATTTTGGAAAGAATTTCAATTTTCGACT